AGATAGATAGATAGATAGATAGATAGATAGATAGATAGATAGATAGAACAGATGTTATGTAGATAAGAAGGTAGGTAATAGGCTCTTTGACATACATTTATAGTTAAGTATAACCTGCTATTGACTGACTTTAAGTTTTTCTTTGTATTATGTAGAACTTTAGAGTCTTCTGGAACCTCAAAAACACAACAGGATCACAATAAGACAAAGATATAGTCGTATCTAAATCTAGTTTATTTAAAGGGATTGGTCATGTTGAAAATATTAGAAATATTTCAGTTGTTCAATAAATATAAACAATGGTAAAATATCAACATGATTTGTTTTAGGTGAAGAGCTTACCAGGAAAATTGTGTTTAAAGGACATTTTATAAAAATCAAATAATTTTCAAATTGTCAATAACTCAGAATTTGGATAAAACCTTTAAAAAATGGAATCCCTTTGTCAACTGAGGCCTCTTTTGGTAAAAGAAACTGCCACAAAAGATAAACAATCTGCAGGCAGCCCTGCCCATCTCCTTAATTGTTCATCTTTGTTCTAGTATGTCCGAGTATCATTTGATACGAAACCTGATCTCTTGCTACACCTGATGACCAAGGAATGGCAACTGGAGCTTCCCAAACTTCTCATCTCTGTGCATGGAGGGCTGCAGAACTTTGAACTCCAGCCCAAGCTCAAGCAAGTCTTTGGGAAAGGGCTCATCAAAGCCGCCATGACAACTGGAGCATGGATCTTCACTGGAGGGGTCAACACAGGTAATCGGACTGGGGTGGAAAAATGCAGTTGCTACACTGTTGTTTGTGTCTAGAATAATTTTTCCTTAAATTGAAAATATCCATTTTTTCACCTCATCTCTGTTCATGTACATCCACCCTCTTGCTCATCCCTCCTCTGTTAACTGCTTTTCATCCTTCCTTTGCTAAGTGAAAACTATACAGATGTTTTTCTTTTTTAAATTATATTTATTTTTATTAAGTACAGTTTATTCACTTTGTATCCCCCTGTACCTCCCTCCCTCCTCCCCTCCCAATCCCACTCTCCCTCTTCCCCACCCATGTACTTCTCCCAGTCCACTGGAAAGGGAGGTCCTCCTCCCCTTCCTTCTGATCCTAGTCTATCAGGTCTCATCAGGAGTGGCTGAATTGTCTTCTTCTGTGGCCTGGTAAGGCTGCTCCCCCATCAGGGGGAGGTGATCAAAGAGCAGGCCATTCAGTTCATGTCATAGACAGTCCCTGTCCCCATTACTATGGAGGCCACTTGGACACTGAACTGCCATAGGCTACCTCCGTGCAGGGGTTCCAGGCCATCTCCATGAGTGGTCCTTGGCTGGAGTATCCATTTCAGAAAAGATCCCTGTGCCCAGACTTTTTGGATATGTTGCTGTCCTTGTGGAGCTCCTGTCCTCTCCAGGTCTTACTATCTCCCACTTATTTCATAATATTCTCTGCACTCTGCCCAAAGTTTGGCTATGAGTCTCAGCCTCTGCTTGGATACCTCTATCAGTAGAGCCTTTCAGAGGCCATCTGTAGTAGGATCCTGTCCTGTTCCCTGTTTTCTCCCTCCTCCAATGTTCATCCTCTTTGCATTTCTGAATGGGGATTGAACATCTTAGCCAGAGTCCTTCCTGATTAGCTGCTTTAGGTGTATAGATTTTAGCATGTTTATCCTATATTATATGTCTAATATACAATTATAATTGAGTATGTACCATCTTTTTGCTTCTGGGATACCTCACTCAGGATGATCTTTTCCAGTTCCCACCATTTACCTGCAAATTTCATGTTTTTCTTGTTTTTATCACTGAATAATATTCCATTGTGTAGATGTACCACAATTTCTGTATCCATTCCTCAACTGAGGGGCATCTGGGCTGTTTCCAGCTTCTGGCTATTACAAATAAAGCTGCTACAAACATGGTTGAGCAGTTGTCCTTGTTATATACTTGACCCTTTTTTGGATATATGCCTAGGAGTGGTATAGCTGATCTTGAGGAAGCGCTATTCCTAATAGTCTGAGATAGCGCCAGATTGATTCCAAAATGGTTGTGTAAGTTTACATTCCCACCAGCAGTGGAGGAGGGTTCCCCTTTCTCCACAACCTCTCCAGCATGTGCTGTCACTTGTGTTATTCATCTTAGCCATTCTGATGGGTGTAAGGTGAAATCTCAGGGTCTTTTTGATTTGCATTTTCCTGATGACTAAGGACGTTGAACATTTCTTTAAGTGTTTCTCTGCCATTCAATATTCCTCTATTGAGAATTATCTGTTTAGCTCTGTACCCATTTTTTATCTTTTTTTTATTAATTACACTTTATTCATTTTGTATCCCCCCATAAGCCCCTCCCTCCTCCTCTCCCTATCCCACCCTCCCTCCCCTTTTTGCATGCATGCCACTCCCCAAGTCCACTGATAGGGGAGGTTCTCTTCTCCTTCTTTCTGATCTTAGTCTATCAGTTCTCATCAAAAGTGGCTGCATTGTCCTCTACTGTGGCCTGGTAAGGCTGCTCCCCCCTCAGGGGGAGGTGATCAAAGAGCAGGCCAATCAGATTATGTCAGAGGCAGTCCCTCTTCCCATTACTATGTAACCCACTTGGACACTGAACTGCCATGGGCTACATCTGTGCAGAGGTTCTAGGTTATCTCCACGAATAGTCCTTGGTTGGAGTATGAGTCTCTGGGAAGTTCCCTGTGTTCAAATTATCTTGTTCTGTTGCTCTCCTTGTGGAGTTCCCGTCCTCTCCAGCTCTTACTATTTCCCACTTCTTACATAAAATTCCATTCACTCTGCCCATCAGTTGGCCATCAGGCTCAGCATCTGCTTTGACAGTCTATATTGCAGAAGCTTTCAGAGGCCCTCTGTGGCAGGTTTCAAGGTTGTTTCCTGTTTTCTTCTGGCTTTCAGAGGCCCTCTGTAGCAGGTTCCGAGGTTGTTTCCTATTTTCTTTTTCTTCTGATGTCCATCCTCTTTGCCTTTCAGGATGGGGATTGAACATTTTAGTTAGGGTCCTCTCTTTTGCTTAGTTTGTTTAGATGTACAGATTTTAGTGGGTTTATTCTATTTTGTATGTTTAAATGAGTGAGTATATACCATGCGTGTCTTTTTGCTTCTGGGACAACTCACTCAGGATGATCCTTTCCAGGTCCCACCATTTACCTGCAAATTTCATGATTTCCTTATTTTTCATTGCTGAGTAATACTCCATTGTATAGATGTACCACAGTTTCTGCATCCATTCTTCAGTTGAGGGGCATCTGGGTTGTTTCCAGCTTCTGGCTATTACAAATAAAGCTGCTACAAACATGGTTGAGCAAATGTCCTTTTTGTGTACTTGCGCCTCTAATCCAATTAAAAAATGGGTACAGAGGAAAGAATCCTCTGTACCCATTTTTTAATTGGATTACTTGATTTGTTGTTGTTTAACTTCTTGAGTTCTTTATATATATTGGATACTAGTCCTCTGTCAGATATAGGGTTGGTGAAGCTCCTTTCCCAATCTGTAGGCCGACTGCCTACAGATTTTGTTCGTTTTGTTCTGACAACAGTGTCCTTTGCTTTACAGAAGCTTTTCCGTTTCATGAGGTCCCATTTATTGATTGTTGCTCTTAGAGCCTGTGCTGTTGGTGTTCTATTTAGGAAGTTGTCTTCTGTGCCAATGAGATCAAGGCTCTTCCCCACTTTTTCTTCTAACAGGTTTAGTGTGTCTGGTTTTATATTGAGGTCTTTGATCCATTTGGACTTTAGTTTTGTGCAGGGTGGTAAGTATGGATCTATTTGCATTTTTCTATATGTAGACATCCAGTTGGACCAGCACCATTTGTTGAAGATGCTATCTTTTTTCCATTGTATGGTTTTGGCATCTTTGTCAAAGATCAGGTGTCCATAAGTGTGTGGGTTTATTTCTGGGTCTTCTATCCAATTCCATTGAGCCACCATTCTGTTTCTGTGCCAGTACCACGCAGTTTTTATTACTGTTGCTCTATAGTACAGCTTGAGATCAGGGATGGAGATACCTCCAGAAGATCTTTTATTGTAGAGGATTTTTTTTAGCATTTCTGGGGTTCTTGTTATTCCATATGAAGTTGAAAATGAAGAACGATTCTACTATTTAATGGACTGCAGAATTTGTATACATGACTTAAAGAAATTCACAGGATGTTTTCAGTAGGTCCAATTATCGTAAGTATCCACTGACTTTTCAAAGAATAACTTTTTGCTTTAAATTGGAATGTCTGCCTTTGTTATTTAAGTAGTTTCAAGCTTGGTACCGAATTGTGTGTGTGTGTGTGTGTGTGTGTGTGTGTGTGTGTGTGTGTGTGT